TGCTTCTATCTGGAAACTGTGTAAATCTTTTACAGTATATATTTTCTACATATTATATATCATATATTGACAGAATAATAGTCATCTTTAAAATATATATTATAAATAAATACAAGATACTTACAATCTAATATACAAAAGTACTTACACAATTTTTAAATATACAGAATTTTGCACTATGTGAGACCTAGAGAACCAAGCTGAAATATAAAAAAAAATTAAGATTGTTTTATATTGTTTTAACATTAAAGTACACACATATATATATGTTAAAGATTATAAGTATATAATGTACATTAAAATAAATGAAATATGTTTCAAAGAAATTAAAAAAGTTAATTTCATTTATAATATTTGTTTTTATTAAATTCACTATTATTTTATAGAAATTTTTGATTAATGTTATATCAAACATTCTTTTACTTGAAAAATTTAAAAAATATTTTACCAGTGTCATTTTATCTTCTTCTTTTTTAAGTACTTTTGCTGTTTGTTCTTGATCAAACTTGACAACTGCAGCAATCACTCTAGCAAGCACCATTGTTTCTCTTCCCATCATATATTCAAATAAAATATTTCTAAGATATTCAATCTCTGTTGAATCCTCTAATGTATCATGTCTTAGCTTCATTAATTTTCTAAGCTCAGCTAATTCTCGTCTCTGTGCTGTTAGTGTTTGTTGAAGAGTGTGGAAAGAACCAGTGTTTGATTGTACAGCTGCCATTGCAACTCGTGAAGTACTCTCTAATTCCTAAATTTAAAAAATTTTAAAAATTAGTAAAAATTAATTTTAATTTTTTATTTTATTTATAATAGTTTTTATTGATTATTTTCATGCAATTATGCATTAAAAAATATGGCAAAAGTATGATTAATAAAATTAAGTTGTTTAAATTTGAAAAAAACTTTACCTCAGGAATTATATCAGTTTGTACATCAGGCTGAAAAAAATATAAATATAAATAAAATTATAAAAAATAAAAAAATAATTACGCGAAACTGAAATAAGTACAAAAAAAAGAATACTTAAAAGTAAATAAAATATAAAATAAGACATAATTATAAGGTGTTATATATTTTAAACTTCATTTTAATTAACCAACCCTTCTTTCATTTCGCCATTCCCGTGTTAATTCATTAATTTCTTCTTCGTGTTTTGCTTCCAATGTGTCAGTTTTTTGTTGTACTATTAATTTCCATTTCTTTTCTATTTCTTTAATTTCATCTATATGTTCCTTCTTTATTATTGTAATTTTTTCCATTAACTGATTTATATCTTTTGTTTTTTGTGATATTAAATTTTTATTTTCTAAAATTAAATTTTCAATTTGTTCTGATTTAGCTGTCAATTCTATTTGAAAATCTTTTAATTGTTCTTTATATTGTTGAATAAGATTTGATTCATAATTTTGTTGACGATCTAAATAGTAAAAACATAGTTTTATATTTAGTATACTTAGTATTAGTATTGAATATTTATGCATTTAAAAAAGATTTAAAGATAAAAAAATGAATAAGATATACATAATACAATTACCAAATCGTTTTTCCAATGCAGCATGCAATTCTTCTTCCTTATCATGTAACTGAGCTTGAAATTCCTTAACTAATTGTTTTAATCTCATACTTTGCTCTTCCTCATTTGTTTTCAATTCTTGTTTCAAAGTATCCACTTGATTTTTTAATTCATTACTAATGAAATGCATTTCTAATTCTTTTGCTTGGAATGTTATTAATGCTTCATCTAGTTGTGCTTCTAATTTTTTATTTTCTTCCTCTAGTTTATCATTATTTTTGGTAGAAAAATCATCTATAGTTTTATTATTATTTATATTTTTCATTTCTTCGTTTAGCGTAATATTCGATTCTCTAAGAACTTTTATTTCATTTTGTAGTTTAATAATCGTTTCTTTTAAATCTTCAATATTAGTTGATGGGTCAGTTTCTATTGCTACTTCCTCCTCTATTGATGAAGATTTCAATCTTTCAATTTCTTTCAATAGTTCTATATTTTTAGCGTCTAGTAATTTTAATTCTGCCACTTTTTCATCTAATATAAGTTTTAATTCATCTATTTCCGTTATTAATTGTTGTTTTGATACATCATCATTCTTTATTTGAGACAATAGTTCCATATTTGTATTTTTTAATGTATCAGTTTCATTTTTTAATTCAATATTTTTGGATTCTATTTGATCTAAATTGGAAATCGTAGATTTTAAATTATTTACGTAAGATTGAAGTTTTGTATTTATATTTTCTAATTCTGTAATTCTATTTTTTAAAGATAAATTTTCTGTAACTAGTTTACTGTTTTCTGATTGTATTTCTTCTAAATCAATTTTTATTTTATTTAAACTATTTATTTCCGATTTTAAGTTATTCATTTCTTCTTCGACATTTTTTAGTTCTGACACTTCTTTGTCCAAAAGTACTAATTTCATTTGAAGTTCTTTATTTATTTCTTCCATTTTCTTATTATTTTCTAATGTTAAATTTAATTTATCTATTTCATTACGTAAATTTGTATTTTCTTTTGTAAGACATTCTTTAGTTTTTTCTGCTTTTTTCTTATATGAAGTTACTTCTTCAAGTTGGAAATTTAGTTCCTGACTGTTAGACTGTAATTCTGTATTTAATAATGTAATGTGACTTTTTAAATTATCTATATCTTGATTTTGTTCACTTAAGCGATTTTTGCATAATTCAATTTCTTTTTCTAATTGTGCATTTTCAGTTAATAATTGTTGATTGTATTTGTCATAATCTATAACTTTTTGCTTTAAATTTTCATTAGATTCATTTAATTCTTGATTATGTTTCAAAAATTCGTTTTGTTTATCTTTTAAATTTTTATTTTCTAAATTTACTTCGTTTTCAATTAATTTTAACCTTTCTAATTCAGCATTGATTGCTGTATTATTATTTTTTAATATTACTATTTGGCAGTTTTCAGATTTCAACATATTCATTTCATTTTCTGATGATTTTAACTGCTCCAATAATTCTATATTTGAAGCTTTTATTTCACTAATTTCATCATTTAACTTTTGGATAGTGGCATCTTGTTTTTGTTTGATAGTTTTTAACTTTGTTAATTGCTGAATTTTTGTTTGTATCTTTTGTTGTAGAGTTTCATTTGATTTTGTTAATTTAATGATTTCATTTTCACGTTCTTCAATTAACTTTGTATGTTTTTCATCTTCGAGTTTTAAATTAACTAAAAAACTTTCTTTATTTTCTAATTCTTCGTTTAAAGTATTTATTTTCTTATCCTTATCGAATAAATTTTCATTTAAAATTTTAATTTCCGATTGTAAAATGTTTATTTTTTCTTTTAATTTATCACAATTAAAGTTTTCAGATTTCAATAATGTAGCAGTTTTTGTTGCTTGTACATATTTTTGTTCTAATTCTTGTAATTGTTTTGTATTATTATTTGCCTCTTCAAGTTGTACTTTCAAATCACATATTTCATTGGAAAGTAATTGATTTATAGCATTGACATTGTTAAGTTTTTCTTGTAAAGATTTAGATTCTATCATTAATAATTTCACTTGCTCGGGTAAATTTCGTAAGTCATACAATTTGAAATTAAGATTATCTATCTCGGCTATAAGTTTATGATTTTTTGTATTAACTTCACATTGTTGTTCCAATTTTATAGACATTTCATTTAATTGTTTATTATAATTTTCCAAGTTTATTTCTAAACTAGATTTAAGATACATAGTATCTTTTAATTCAGTTTGTAATTGATTATATTTTTGTTTAAATTCTTCAAATTCTTTTAGTTCAGTTTGAAAATTTTTTATTTGCAAATTTACATTATTCTGAATAATATCATTTACTTTCAGAAAAGTATCAAATCCATTCTTTAAGACAGAAATTTCATTGTTAATCTCTGTGATGTATTTTACTGCATTGTTTTTAATATAAATGTTATCTTCTTTTAATTTTTTTGCAGAAATTCTGTAATTTAAAATATTTTTAATTAAATTATTTTTCTCTTCGTAGAGCAAACTAATATTAGAACTATCTGTTTGATGTCTGTTTTTAAGATCAGAGATAATAGATTTACAGGATTCAAGTTCTGTGCATACTCCTAGTAATTCAATGTTTTTAATTTTTAACTCATTGTTTAATTTAATTATTTCTGTATCGTCTTGTATTTTTTCTTTAAGAGTTTTTATTTCCGTTTCCTGAATTAATAATTTTTCTTTCGTTTTTTCAAGCATTGTTTTATATTCATGAACTTTAGCATTGTAACTTTCACATACCTTATCTCTATCAATTAAAGCATTCCTCATATTTTCTAATTCTTTATCAAGACTTTGTATAGTAGCTTGCAATTTTTCAATTGTTGTTTCTCCTTCTTTTTTTCTTTCTTTGGCAATAATTTTTTGTGCCTCTTGTTCATTTTGGAGCTCTGCATATTTTAATTTATAATTTGAAAATTCCATATACAGTTTTTCTTTATCTGTTTGACATTCTTCAGCAAGCTTTTGTAATTCTTCTAATTTAGTTTTTATCTCTTGAAGTTCAATTTCCTTTTCATCTAATTTACATTTTAAATTTTGATATATTTCAGTATCATGTATTTTTATATTCTCTTTATTACAATTTTCTTCATGATACTTTAAGCCCATCTTTTCATCCAAATCAATTAATAACTGCTGCATTTCTGATTTTCCATTTGAAGTATCTTGTATAATTTCCTTTTTTTCTAAATCTGCATTTTGAGTATTAGATGATAATTTTAGTTTCTCTAATTCAACTTTATATTTGTTAACAATTTCACTTAAATTTTCCTTGGATTCTGTCATATACTTCAAATCTAATTGTAGCTTTTTGATTTGCTCTTCTTTATCCTCTAATTCTCTATGTATTGAAAGTTTATTTTCAGCTAAAGATATTACAGATTCTTCTTCACGTTTTCTTAAAATAATCATTTGATCTGTTAAATTTTTAATTTCTGTAGATACAGAACTTAATTCTTTTTCTTTCTCTGTATAAGAATTTCTTAATGTTTCATATTGAGATTCTAATGTATTCTTTTCTGTTAATATTTCAGTAAACTTTTCTTTATTTCGTTTTAAAGATTCTTTGTACTTTAAAACAACATTTTCTAATTTTTTTAATTTGTCTTTCAGTTGTGCATTTTCAATTACAAAAGCATTCTCTTCAGAACTAATTGACGATCCAGTACTTAGATCAATAAGATTATCTTTTAAATTCCCTTTATCATTAATAGTATCTGATAAAGTCGTTTTTAAGTTTGGTCCAGTTGTTTGCAAAAGTTTAATCTGCAATGTATGTAACATTGACATATGATAAATAATAATAATAATAAACTTTTTAATATTACCTTTGTATTCAATGTACTTATTATATGATCTTTTTCTTCAATATCATTTCTCAATGCTTCTTCTAAATGAGCTTTGGCCTGTTGTTCTAAATGACACTGTTCTTTCAAATCAGCTATTCGCCTTAATACTTTATCTTGGGTTTCCACTAAAACTGATTCTAACTTGCCTTTTACTCTTTCCAATTCTTTATAATGTGTTGCTAAATCTGTATATCTCCCACGATATTTATGATATTTTGCTTGCACTTTCCTATAAGCTGAATATATTTGATCTTTCGAAACCTTGTCCAATTGTGGACTTATATTTTCGTCTATTTCACTAGCAGACTGATCTATATCAGACTATAAGCAAAAATAGACAGTTATTTACATTTAAATATTAATCATTTTTCAAATTTTATATATTCTTATAATTGTCCTATGATACCTGCAAATGATATAAATTAGCAGGACTTTCGTAAATTGGAAAAAGAGATGAAGTGTCACTAGTCATACTGCTAACTGATGATCTTCTCGAAATACCTATGGAATTCGATGTAGGTGTCATTAAATCTACATTTTGAAAACCATGTTTAGCAGGACTGTTTTTGGGAGTTTCTGTAAATATCATTTTCATATTTAAATTTTTTTTTAATTTAAAGAAATAAAGAAAAAAAAATAGAAAAAGAAGAATGGCTTACCATCCCCTTCTTCTGTTAAACTAAAATTCTCATTAGATAATTCTTGTACTGAACTGTTGGACAAAGCAGGAGATACAACTGCCTAAATTAAATCAAGTTATTAAATCAGATATGAAAAATGTATTCTTACAGAAATAATAATTTGCTTTCAATAAATTCGCAATGATTTCATTTTATTAAGTATATCACAAGAATACATCATTTGTGTTTTAATACTAAGTGAAATGTCAAACCTGTGCTAATTGTTGCATGCTTGCTTGTAACCTGGCAGGTGATTGTTTCATTTCTTCTGCAAGTTTATCTTTAAACTTTTTGAACATTTTGGCAAAGTTTGTATGATATCCTCCAGCTTTTATTAAATTACATGAATTTCCATAGACTTTTATTTACGTCAAATTAAGTTGGAATTGAAGACGAAAGCTGTCAAAATTGAAATGCAAACATTATCCTGTATTGTTCGAGCAAGTACTTTTAGGGAATAAACGAATCATTGATTATCAAATGTAATATTTAATTCTTTGAAACGATATATCTTTACTGCGATATTAAAAGTTTCACGTGAAAACCATGTATACGTAGCACAGTTATTGCCATTGATGTTGATATAGTAGATTGAACTGACATGATACTATCTTTGAATGAACATATTTGAATTGGTTCATTGTGTGACTTTTTTGTATTATACATAATTTTATTTCTTGAATTGACTTCTTTTAAAGCAAATAAATAAATGAATAAATATAGTTGAAGATGAAAATTATTGTAACTAGAATTGGAATATAACATGTTATAAGATGATCGTACAATTTTTATTTGTTAAAAGATATTTCAATTTTTTAATAATATATTTACATATTTAAAATATGAATTGAAATGAAACATTAGAATAAAACATATAATTGTCTAATTACAGCATAATTTCTACGATATTTTATTCGTATTTTATAATCACCATATATATAAAATCTAGTTACTTTTACGTTAAGAATAAATATAACCATACATACCACAATATTAGTTTACATGTGAAGTAGGATACTGTTGCTTACATCCTTTAATTTGCAAGGAATTACGATATTTCTATTTTCAATGATTTGATTCAAGGGGAGAACACTTTTAATTTGTAGAAAATGGTACGGTATTATCAAACATAAAACAAATAACAATTAATAACCTAAAATTAGTTTTATAGGTGAGAAGTTCCTACAAATCAATTTTATTTAATTTAGCTTCAAAGAAAATTTTTATAATTGCATTTAAGTACTTAAAATTTTTAATCCTTTTTTATTTTATACTTGGTAATATATAAGAATTGTAATATATTGAATCAAATTTGTCAAAATATAATTCAAAAATAATTGCATACTTTTATAATTTTTAATGATATACTTATATGTAATTCCATACGTACATATTAACATACTTAATTATTTTTAAATTTAATTCATTATATATTATAATACATTGCAGGCTTCAAATGATGGTATACCTCCACCTACTGCGGTGCCAGGGTTTCCACCGGCAACTCCAAACATTGCTTCTAGTTTTGTACCACCTATTATGCCTACTGCACCATTTATTCCTCCTCCTAGTTTACCACCTGGTCCGCCTGGTATAATGCCTCCACAGTTTTCTATACCTCCACCTGGTTTTAGTTTCCCAATTAGTGCTGCTCCTCCACCTGATGCTGGAGTCATAGGTTAATATCATTATTTTAAGAATATTTATTACTTTTTAGGAGTAATATACTTTATTCAAATATAATTTATATTTTAGCTGCACCTCCTCAAATAACAGCGTCAGGTATTCCTCCTCCAGCACCTATAGCAAGTGAAGCCACATCAGGTGTTCAATCCATTGCAACAACAGAAAAAAAGACTGATTGGACTGAACATAAGGCTCCTGATGGAAGAACATATTATTATAATAGTGTTACGAAACAATCTTTGTGGGAAAAGCCAGACGAGCTAAAAACACCTAGCGAATTGCTTTTATCGCAGTGTCCTTGGAAAGAATATAAGTCAGAAAATGGAAAAGTATATTACCATAATGTAACAACTAAGGAATCTAGATGGACTATTCCTACAGAACTAGAAGAATTAAAAGCAAGAATTACAGCTGAAGAAGCTGCAGCTGCAGCTGCAGCAGTTGTTGCAAGTGCTACAAATACGTTAGTAAAGATTATATTTATTATAATCCATGATATAATTAAGAAAATTTATGTACAATTATCAATATTTTGTTTTATCAGTATAGTTCCTGCAGGTATTCAACATTTATCTCCAAACGTTGCAATTACTAATACATCTCAAACTAGTACACCAGAACCAGGTGGGAAGTCTGCAATTGAACAAGCTATGGCTGCAACTCTTGCAGCGATAAATATTCCTACACCACCTGCAAAACCAGATGAAGACAGCAATTCTGCAAAAGGATCAGCAAATGATAGTCGTACCAGTACTCCTGAACCAAAAATGCAATTTAAAGATAAGAAAGAGGCAATTGAAGCATTTAAAGAATTGTTAAGGGAAAGAGATGTACCATCGAATGCTACATGGGAACAGGCAGTAAAATTAATTCAAAATGATCCTAGATATCCACAAATGAAGAAACTAAATGAACGTAAACAAGCATTCAATGCATATAAGACACAGAAACTTAAAGAAGAACGCGAACAAGAAAGATTAAGGTAAGTAACATTGTATGATATTAACATTTTAATATAAGAAACAACAACAAAAAAAAAATGACAAGTTATTTCAAACAGATTGAAGAAAGCCAAAGAAGATCTGGAACAATTTTTATTAGAAAATGATAGAATGACAAGTACAACAAAGTATTATAAATGTGAAGAAATGTATGGTAATTTAGAAGTGTGGAGAGCTGTTGGTGATTCAGATCGCCGTGACATTTATGAGGATGTTGTTTTTAATTTGGCCAAACGTGAGAAAGAAGAAGCAAAACAATTAAAAAAGAGAAACACTAAACGATTAGCTCAAGTTCTAGATACTATGACCGACGTTACATACAGAACTACTTGGCAGGAAGCACAAGCATTGCTCTTACAACATGCAGCGTTTGCAGAAGATGCAGATTTGTTAGAAATGGATAAAGAAGATGCATTACTTGTTTTTGAAAATCATATACGTCAACTAGAAAAGGACGAAGAAGAAGAGAAAGAGCACGAGAAAAAACGTAGAAAAAGACAAGAACGAAAAAATAGAGATGCATTTATAGTAAGTTGTAGAAAATTATGAAATTTTGTATTATTTTTATAAATAACTGTTTTCAATAAGAATAATTGTTTTATAGAGTTTATTGGACGAACTTCATGAACAAGGAAAATTAACATCAATGTCATTGTGGGTAGAACTTTACCCAATGCTATCTGCTGATTTAAGATTTTCAGCTATGCTTGGACAATCTGGATCAACTCCATTAGACCTTTTTAAATTTTATGTTGAAGATTTGAAATCTAGATTTCACGATGAAAAGAAAATTATAAGAGAAATTTTAAAAGATAAGAATTTTGAAGTGCAAGTTAATACTACTTTTGAAGAGTTTGCTACCGTTGTATGTGAGGATCGAAAATCTGCAACATTAGATGCAGGTAATGTAAAACTGACGTACAATTTACTACTTGAAAAAGCTGAAGCTCGGGAGAAGGAACGTGTGAAAGAAGAAACTAGAAAGTTCAAGAAATTAGAAACTGGCTTTAAAAATTTACTGAAAACTCTTAACGTTGATTATCAAATGACGTGGGAAGATGTGAGAAGCAAGATTGAAGAAGAACCAGACTTCAAAGCAATAACATTAGAAAGCGAGAGAGTTAGAATTTTTAAGGAATATCAACATGAACTTGAAGAAAGTTGTAGTCATCATCATATTAGAAGTAAAAAAAAGAAAACAAAAAAGGTGAAACGGAAGTCACGTTCACGATCACATAGTGTAAGTAGATTATACAATTTTCAATTCTGAATATTTGTTTCAAAAAATTGTTTTATTAGGAATCTGAAGGTAGTGATAAAGGTTTAAAGAAAAAAAGACATAAATCAAGATCACCAAGTGTTCCCAGCAAATCAGACAGTTCCGAGTCTGATACTAGAAAATCAAAAAAAAAGAAGAGCAAAAAAAAGAGAGGCCGTAGTCATTCTGTAAGTTCAAACAATTGTGCAATATAATTAATCCTCAGTTTGTTTAAATTTAAGTTTAATGATTACACAATTAAAATAGCGATCGCATTCGAGACTTCCATCTTCCGAAGAATCACCGGAAAGAAAACGGAAAGAAGAGAAACATAGAAGAGCTTCTGCTCATAGTGAAGGCTCTATTACTGAAAATGCTGAACATCATGAACTTTCAGAGGATGAATTGGAAAAGCAAAGAGCACAATTACTTCGCGAATTACAAATGCAGCAAGAAGATAATTGAATAGAATCTAATATTTTATGTAATAGATAATGGCAATATTAAATTAAATGTAATTTGTATAAATCGAATTATTCTTTTATTTCATTAATGTATTGATTGCAAAACATTTTCTTATAACTTACACAAGATGGACAGGAAAAACGGATTAGTTGAAACAGGCCTGTGGTATGTAATAAATCATAAATTTATGAAACTACATCCTTTTATATCACGTGAAATTAACATTCTGATTACATATTTTTCTAAGGATAATTTTTACGATACATTGTTTCAAGATCTTGCAAATTTATATTTACGTATTTGGTAAAATACACAATAAAAACATTTGGGATGCGAGAAAAGTCCTTTATGTATGTCTCATTCATTTTGCTTATATAATAAGATAAAGTAACTACAATTACTATAAACTATATATTCTTTTAATTTCATTGATATTACTTTGTGATGATCATTGATATTATCAGATGATTTTTTAATGTTTAAATGTTTTAAGTATTTTTGAGTAATCTTTTACAATTTTTACGAAATAACTGTTCAAATAAAACCAAATAACTGTTCAAATTATCTTACGAATTACTTAACTAATTTATATATTCTTGTAATTTTTCGCTGCTGTTATATTTTTATTTAAGTTAACGAAGGCACTACTTTTCGAAATGTCATTACGGCCCTGTTTCATAGCCGAATTGACGGAGGGTGGGGTATATATGGGGGGAGGTTTAGCTCGATGGTTGCCAGTTGCCACTGTCGACTTTCGTAGTTTCGACAGATCAGCATCCTGATCGGTCTCTCTCTTTGCAGTGATTACAGTGATTACAAGATTCATTGACAATTTTGTAAAACTTTTACGACAAACGTGAAAGTGTTCATGCAAAACGTTCTTACAGTATATAAGTCAAAAGAATCGAAATAACAATGTTGAGTCTTTGCCGTCAAGCGTTAATAGTTAACAGTCAAAAGTGAGTAACCAAACGCGAAACTATTTAGCAAACTATATGTATAGATGAAACTAAAGATTCCGTAGTTAATGTTTTGTCTCTTTTCTTTTTATCGGATATACATACTAAATCCTACCATGATATATTGATTATTTTCGCGCATTGACACACGTACTGTTACAACGGTAATAAATGAAGGAGCGCGCTTATATGTAGATGTCAGTTTGCTGGTGTGCATTGGACCTCCGATTCGTTTTCTTTCTCTAAACTTCACTGTTCGCCTTTGTCTACAAAAAGGATAGAATAGTTTGCGGGTTCCGTCGGAATTTTCCACTATAAAATGGACGTGAAAGGTGTTCTTTACTAGTTCATCGATTATTATGTTTTTTTTTTTTGACAATATATGTTCATATTTTTTTCTCTGTCAACTTTTTCAAATGTTATTTCTCAAATATTCGCTCTAATGCGTTCTCTTCGCAACTTCATTGTAACTCTACATAAATGAATACAATAAATGAATACATGAAATCTATTATGAAATGAATTAAACGAATTATATGAAACATATTTGTCTAATGCAATATTGCTCTGATTTTCAGTATTGATTGCTAATGAATATATCTATTGAAATGCATAAACTCGGAAACATACGTTTTGCATACATTTCATAACTTTTATATCATTTATTTCACCGGCGAATGTGTATTAATTTTAATTTATATTGTCGAACGATTCTTACAAAGTTATTTATAAGTATTCGTACTTTCTACGTATTAAACTATTTTAGAGTAATGTTTTAACTCGTTGTATGTATATGTGTGTCCTTCAAACATATTTTTACAGACTAACGCATATGCACAGAGCGGACAGTAACATCTGCTATAGCATAGTGGACTTTTATAAATGTGTAAATTACACAGCGAAATTTTTTCATGTAATGGCTTCAGCATTTCCTAATGTAACGTTTTTTTTAGTTTATTTCAATTCATATGTATTATGTAATAAAATATCTTGCATATTGAGAAGAGACACATTGAAAAGGAATGTTTGTAGTATTACTGAAAATCGTGAATTATTACCTTAAGGCCGTTTTCTACAATTAAACAATTCCGTATGTATCAAATATATCGATTCAGTCAGTTCGTCCATTTAACCAATTTGTAACTTCATTGTTGTGATTTTCTTTATCAATTTTTTTCCCATATAATTAATTATACATACAACTATAACTGTAATAACATGGGTCAGTGAATTCATGTTACGTTATGTAATATTTTGTGTTGATTTGACTTATGTGAGCAAGTTTAAAAAACAATATCTCACCTGGAAAATAATATCTCCCGCCGTTTTTATTTATGTAACGTATATTCTTAATATTTTTGTAAAAATATCTTTTTTGTGTTATGACTACAAAAATAAATAACAATTTTTAATTTTCATCATTTTTGTATTATGACTATTCTGTTACCTTAACCATTTATTGTATTTATTTTTGGAAACTAAAAGAATAATTGAAGAAAATATCATGCTGGAGATAACATTATGAGTTTAACTCTCGCTGCTAAGTAGATAGATAAATATTTACAGATGATATCAACAAGCTAATATGTATTCTGTCTTTAATCTTATTGTGTTATGTGTCAGTAAATTTAGATACAAATACATTTATAAATATTACGAACATTTCAAATCTGAAATAAATTTGATTTCCTACATTTTTGTTATTTGAAATTGTATATATTTTATATTTTTATAAACAGAGTGAGTGCAAGGTGCTTAGGAACAATAGTACCAGTACCAAATCCTATTGACTTTCCCTTGGAAAATGAACCTGTGCTTAGTTACAAAAAGGGCAGCCCAGAGAGGGCAGAATTGGAAAGGACTTTGGATAAAATGGCCAGTGAGTGTGAAGAAGTACCTCTGGTTATTGGAAATGAAGAAATTAAAACGGATTTATATAGATACCAAGTTATGGTAAGTTGAAAAATGTAATAATAAAAAAACTAAAGAGTGATATGATAAATAAAGTGTATATTATAATATATAATTGTAATACATCTGTTTTAGCCACATAATCATAAAATAAAGGTAGCAAAATATTATTGGGCAACACCTGATCTAGTCAAAAAGGCAATAGATGTTGCTGTGAAGGCACAGCGCGAGTGGGAAAAATGTCCCTTTGAACAACGCTTAGAAATCTGGTTAAGGGCAGCTGATTTAATGGCAACAAAATACAGACAGAAATTGAATGCTGCTACAATGCTTGGACAGAGCAAAAGTGCTATTCAAGCAGAAATTGATAGTGCAGCAGAATTAATTGATTTCTTTAGAATGCATGGGTATTTTGCCAAAGAGGCTTTAAAATATCAACCAATATCACCTAATTCTAAAGAGACATTAAATTCAATGAGATATAGGGGAATGGATGGTTTTGTTGCAGCAGTATCACCATTCAACTTTACTGCCATCGGTGGTAATCTTAGCTATACCCCCGCTTTAATGGTTTGCATTTTTTTTTTATTATTTCACTTTTATGCATCTTATTAAATAAACGATTTATACATTGCAAATTCAAGTATAGTACATATTATACAATAAACATATTGTATTATATATTTCTAGGGTAATGCAGTACTTTGGAAGCCATCTGATACAGCTTTACTTTCTAATTGGTGGATTTTTAAAATATGTAAAGAAGCTGGTGTACCACCAGGTGTAGTCAATTTTGTTCCATGTGAAGGTCCCATTTTTGGTGATACTATAACTGCTTCACCTTACTTATCCGGAATAAATTTTACTGGATCAGTTCCAACGTTTAATCGTTTATGGATGCAAATTGGTAAAAATCTGGGGAAGTATAAGAATTATCCCAAATTAATAGGCGAATGTGGTGGAAAAAATTATCATTTTGTACACGCGAGCGCTGATGTGGAGTCAGTTATTAATGGGACCATAAGAAGCGCTTTTGAATTTAATGGTCAAAAATGTTCAGCTTGTAGTAGAATGTATGTTCCAGAATCCTTGTGGCCAAAGGTAGATTTTACACATAGTTTTAATTTCAACTTTTTTAAACAAAATTTTTCAATTTCAAATATTATTATGTACATAGATAAAAGAAGGCCTTTTATTGATTCGTGACAAACTTAAAATTGGCGACGTTAGAGATTTTACCGTGTTCACTGGAGCCGTTATAGATGCTACTGCATTTAAAAGAATTTCTGGTTATATCGAACATGCAAAAAAATCATCTAATTTAGAAGTTATCGGTGGTGGCAAATATGATGATTCGTACGTTTCATTGTATATATTATAATCTGTTAAATACGTATTTTCTTATTATTTTTAAAATCTTTTTTCTCATTAGGGTCGGATATTTCATTGATCCGACAATAGTAGTAACAAAAGATCCCAAAGATAAAATAATGACAGAGGAAATATTTGGACCTGTCTTAACAATATACGTTTATAAAGATTCAAATCTTGATCAAACAATGAAATTGGTAGAATCCTCGACACCTTATGCTCTAACTGGATCGATATTCTCACAAGACGAGTAAGCGTTTCATTTTACTTTAAAATATTGATATTGTATCTTATCACACCTTGGTACCTTTCAGAAAATGGGCGAGAAGAGCTTTCGAAGAATTGAAGTATACAGCTGGTAATTTCTATATTAATGATAAATCGACGGGCTCGGTTGTTGGTCAACAACCGTTTGGTGGTAGTAGAATGTCTGGAACAAATGATAAAGCTGGCGGTCCTCATTACGCTCTTCGCTGGGCATCGCCACAGTCAATCAAAGAAACGTTTGTTCCTTTGCGTGAATACGATTATTCGTATATGAAGTCTTAGATGTAAGTATTATTAAAAGCTTGCAGTTATAATGTGAAGATACATATACTGATGCAGTAGCATCTTATATTACAAACTGAAAAATGCAGATTTTTTGGGTTGTTCGGCAAGAACTAATGAAATATCTTCATGCATTCCTTTACGTGAATTCATGGAATTTACGTATAAGGCTATTTGCACTCGCAATGCAAGTGATATGGGCTTTGTAGGAATTTATACTATGAAGCAAATTGCTTAAACACGAAGTAATTCACGAAAAAGATAGTTGATTTTCAGAAAAAAGCAAGTATTCAGTAGTTGGTAATATGTATACCAACTGAACAGTATTTTATGTTTTTAATAAATATGTTTGTTAATTTAATATTACGTAGCATACAGAAAAGACGAACACAAAAATAAATATTTCTAAGCTACTTTTAAAGTAGTCGCAAGTCCATCTTAATATTTGCTGCCAATAGATAACATTAATATTCTGCAAGTTGCAGCGTGTAGAGTCTATATATTAAGATCAAGTGTTTCAGTACAATAATATTTTAATATCTCAGGAATTACTATATGTGGTTGCAAACAAAGAGGCATTTTTTTGATCATACATTACAGTGATATATGAAATTTTATAACAATATTATTCAAGTATGGTGATCGATACATAACATCTGGGAGTGTGTTTGAAGATTGTGATAAATACGTACTAGTTAGAAAAACCATCCGCTGTGTTTTTCGGACCTTACTTTTTTATATTCTTATAGAGAGATCATTTACAATGACTGATATTATGTTATAAACGCGCAGCGTGAAACATTCATTTTACTGTGTAACTCACAAGACAATATGTAGACGCGGGACGAACACAGTAAAATATAAAAGTTACCCTTAAATTATGTTATCAAGCCTGATCGTCGATCGTTTAGGCACGTTATTGTTGACAGTGTGATTGAGATAAAGCATCTTGCAAATCGAACAATGACTACTAATTAAATATACAGTAATATGTTAGATGTTGTGGCTGATGTTATAATGTAATTTATTTTAAGTGTACCATAGCAATAAAAACACTATACAATTAGATATTTCTAATATAAATTCTTCAACTACATCGTCAACAACATAAATCGTATAATTTTGACTTATTATTGCATTCGTTAAAAGTATTTTTTTATTCTTAAGACTATAATTAAAAATAATTACTTTTAGCAGTACACTTAATCATTAATTTATCGACACAAATAAATGCCACATCAGGTAAATAGAAGCATATCGTCTACTCCTGTATTGTCAGTTACCCTGTAATGATAATGTTGACAATAATATTGCATTCTTAAAAAGTGATGATTGTTATAATTTAGATTGATATTTTAGTATATTTTATTGCTCATTACAAATTAATTAAAGTATCATCATATATTGAACAATTCTTTTTTAATTCATCTATACAGAGGTCACAATGGAGAATTAGATAATATTTGTTAATATTTATTATTTTTAGTTGCACGAAATTTAATTGTTAAAGGAAAAAGTTCTTAGAGAACTATTTTTCGTTTAAATATTAACGTTTAATAAAAATTTTAGGTCATCAAAGGATTCTATTACTTTCTGTTCTTTACCTATTCTATTTTACCTACCTTTGGTAGACAAAGTTACCTTTAAGTCACCTACAGAGTTATGTCAAGATATTTAATTTCAAATTATATGGTCACATTTAATTTTGAGTCAATCAATTAAATTATTATATATCTCAGATATTAAAATTTTTAATCATCTTTTTTCCAGTCTATAATTGTAGGTAGGAGAAATCATTTTTCATCCCATGTACCAGAAATACAAGTTTTATTTAAAGATATTTAAATATATATTTATAAATAATTAAACACACACATATTTATGGTAAATTAATTTAGAAGATGTTTTAATTTTATTACTGTTAGTACAATAAAATGTATCACAATATATTTGTTAAGATCTAAATTTTTTTAATATACGGTCTTGTTATAAAATAACAGAGTTCAATAAGATATTCACGTAATAATTTCATGTATCTTCACTTTAACTGCTATAATGAAATACATTAATTTTCCGATGATATTTTAATAATAATTATAATAATTTGAATCTCAACTTGTAGCTTACAATTATACAATGGTTAAAAAAAATATTTGCACATCATTGTGTTTGTTATAATATTTATATACCAATTAATTAAATAGAAGTATATCGAGTTTTGTATGATTTAGTCATAGTTTTATGCAACTACAACTACAATTTAGTATTATGAAAATGAGAAGTTACTTAGTTACTTAGTTACAGTTAAAAAAGTGAAATTCCTACATGTTGCCTAATCTCGTTGACCAGAAACGTTTGAAGAAAATTTTGTATCTTTTGTATGTAATTATCAGCTAGAGAACAAATTACTTCCTCTTTACTTTCCTCTCTCTCACGCCTTAATCATACTATTTGCATTTTTCACAGTTTCTCATTTCCCTTCGTTACTTGGTTGGAATCCTTACCTTCCGCCATTTACACTCGACTTTCTTCCTTGTGTTCGTCTCTTCTTTTCCTTCCTCTCTTTTCTTTTTTTTTCTCTTTTTCACGGCACGTCAATGGCGCTGCTTTGACGAGTCCTGGAATGGGGTTGACATTGGAAGACACCGACGGAAGAAGAGGGATTCAATGGCTTAGGAGAAATCGTCGTTAATGGCTTTGCCGAAGGATTTCCTGGCGTTCTCGGCGCTTTTTTACGAGTTTTCCGGGCGCGACGATCTAAAGCGCTCACTCAAATCAAGATTTTCACCTTTTCAACGGCAGATGAGGCGGATGGCCAACCGTCTTTTTTTCTTCATCCATCTTTCACTGCTTTTCGTCCTTCACGATCCATCCTTTCTTTCTTTTCTCTAGTTGAGCCCTTTCAGCTTCCCCGCTCCTCGTTTCTTTCGTGCTCGACTAAATGACTTGTTTTTTCGAGTTCTGCTTGGATCATTTCGTAGCAGTAGAACGAAAGTCCCATCTTCTTCCTGGTAATCTGAAATTGACGTAATTATGATGGATGTACAGCTATCGAAGAAATTAATCGTCCCGTTTTCAATACTCTCTGCTGCGAAGCCTATGTTTGTTGGGTTTGTTGGAACGAGGCACTGTTTGCATTACTCATAGACATAGTAGAAATGAGTTGCAAACAAGGTTTTTAGGGAGTGTTCAACATCGATTATAAATAATTTTGGTTAGTTGAAATCAAATAGAGATTGAGACATAAAAAGTTCAAAGTTTACAAAGAGCTTCTTCAATTCTCAATATAATTTTATTAAAAAAAAAAAAAAAAAA